AAAAATATGGACATATGCTATTGTTCTGAATGTACTGTAATCTCTTTACCGCATAATTTTGAAAAATTTTGTCAGACACAACAACCGTCATCACGAATTTTTTGAACAGGGAGACACATTACAAATGCCAGTAACCTTATACGCCAGATGGCAAAGATTTCTTCCCGTTCTGTATCTGTCTCTCCGTAGGTCTTACCTACCAGTCTGTTGTCTTGTTTCTTGCCTGACTATCTGTTTATTTAAAGGAGTGAGATTTAAAAGAAACTGTGGTGCTGCGTCGGTGGGGAAATATAACAAGATAGTTTGGTTTTATCAAATGGGTTGATAATGTAGAGTGGCCACCGGAAAGAGTTTCTAAAGTTGACGTTTCAAGCGTTTACCCTTCGTCAGATAGAATTGTCTGTCTGTCTCTCAGTCAGTCTGCTGCCTACCTGTCTTTCTTTCTGTCTTACCTGCGTGTGTGTCTATCGGTATTGCTTTGCATAATCTTTTGAAAGGTCACCATCAGACATGCGGATAAATATGACTAAACGTAGCCTTACTCGAATTGACTTTGCAGACTGTGTATCTCTTAGAGACTTTTTCATAATAGGCAGTGAAACCAGGGTAGGAAACTGAACCGTCTGTTTGGAAGTGTACGTAAAGGACGTTGCTGTGGCTGTAAATACACCAGGAATCTTGATAATCGCAGCGTCTCATTGTTAGGCTTTGATAAGAATTGCCATCATATATCCGTACGTAGTCGTAAGGGCAACTTCCATGACTACCCTCCAGATGGAAATGATCAAAGCGGAGGAAAATGTAAGAACCTGGTGATGTCGTAATAAGCCAAGTACAATGGACATTGTGGCCGTAGTTTTGTGGGTAGTTTGGAGTACTAAAATTTCCTTGTGGTCCATATAGATTGTAGAGACAGGATCCTAAAAAAGTCAACAACATAAGTTAGACTATCAATTGTTATTTAGACATTAAACATATCTCCGGGAATTTAGCCTTATTTACGAAATACTAAAATGTCATACAGTCTTACCAGAGGCAGGTGGCAGCATGGCTGTTGACATTGGTGATATTGATGCTGTGAAGGCAAGGAAGGCATGATCAAAAATAGGATATGTTGGTAATTCCTAATTTATTTGTTAAGTAAATGCAAGTTAAAAAGGAATGAACCAAAAAAAAAGTGCTAGTTGAATCTTGGAAAAAAGAAAGTACTAGCACCTTAGCTCTGAAGGGTAAGTAGGATGCACACGAGATTATGTTGCATTCCTGCAATATGTAAACTTGCTGAAAACAATTGCAATCAGTAACTCTCAAATTGGAACAAAATGAAAAATTAACGATAAGTAAATAATTGGATGAGAAAAAAAAGTACCTGGTGTAGGAGATATACCACTGAAAGTACTCGATGGTAAATGGTGAGCTGTGGGAAGAAAATAATCATGGTGGCTAAAGGTTATCTACTGAAAAACTGTATAGGTACGAAGTCAGGATCCATAAGAAAGGGTGTGCAAGCCCTTTAACCCTTTATTTCTTGGAAAAGAGCCCTGCTTAACTCATTTATGTTTGCCTGATTTTTGTGTAGTCAGTGTGGTGTGTGTGTTTATCTAACCAACTTACTCGTTGCGTGGTACTTCCTGAGTATAGTAAAGAGCCCGTCTCATGATATCGATAAAGAGAATTCAATGGAAAAAGTTTTTAAAATCAAGGCTAAAAGCATTTCTTTGTTCTTGTTTCCCTTCAAATATATGTATATTAAACATGTTTTGAAACATGCTTGCCTGCTATTTGAGTGCGTGTGTTTGTATTTTTGTGCATTTTTCTCAATAATCTTTTTTGTTTTTGTTTTTTTTTTCTATTGTGCTTTTTATCTTAACTATCTTCAGTTAATAATAGTCCACGCATGATAACTGTATTTTAAGTCCTAGAGGGGTAAAGTCATAAGCCCCAGGCATTTTAAATGATCTTCCTCGCCA